TTTTCATTACATATGAAGAGTTCAGATGCAAAAGCCTCTTAAGTGCCGTCTAAAATTTTCTTCTAAAATTGTCATTTTTCTCAGGCTCCTGTGTTTATGTTCAGTTATTTTACTTTAATGGCAAAGAAAATAACCTATTCATTGCCATTAAAGTGAGATTATTAAACCTACACATAGGAGCCTGATCAAAATGCTCATTTTAGAAGAAAATTTCAAACAGCACTTAGAGGCTTTTGCATCTGAGCTCTTCATTTTATTTTGGTACTTCAGCTTAAACTAAGTGAAACTTCAAAATGTTGCCTTGGCAGCTGAAATAATTTTTTTATTTTGTTTACTGTGTATTTTATTTCAGGTAATGAAAATGCTTTTATGGTTTTAGTTTTAGTTAACATCATAACCCTGGTGGAAAATAATAACCCTGGTGGAAATTATTTTACATTTTTAAAACATATTTTAAATAATTTTAAAATGAAATGCAAGTCTCCTTTGTCTCGCTAAGACTAAAACACTTTATTAGAGGTAAAATTGGCTGGTAGATATTACAGCATAGTTTTTAATCTATAAAACTGTACTGATGTAAATATTTTTTCACACAGTAATAGATTTTCATAGTTTACTGAAAGTCTGGGACAAGGAGAGAAGGAGTAAAATGTGACCTTCATATAACAAAAATAAAAAAAAATTTAGAACTCTCTAATAAAAACTTTTACTGAAAAACTACAGTGATAGTCTAATAATAGTAGCAGTCTAGTACAAGTGTAGTAGTGCTGCTGGAACTGAAGGCTGCTGTAATGGCTATAAAGTGAATGGAGTCTGATAGCACTAGTAGTGTCCCAGTACTTACATGTCTCTAGAGACAGACTGTGTTTACTAGAGTGAAATAAACCAATTACAGTAGACTCACACCATAAGCACGCAGACGCCCACGGTCACGTGACAGCAGTGGGAATGTATGCGTGTTCCTGAAGAGCTTTCAGGCCCGGCGTTTCTCCACAGATCTGGGTCAATGCTGGGCAGTTTAAATATTAACCAATAAAAACACAAGACTGCATCCACTGCTCAAAATCTGTTGGCCTCTGCAAGTAAGATTTTCTTCAAAAATAAAACATGACTAGAGTTTGCAGTTAATGTTCACATGTTATCTATTTAAATTAACTGAATTCAGTTTAAGTCTCTTGCTTATAGATCTTGAAACACTAAGATTATTGTTCTTGTTTTCATGTCTAGGTTTCTGTGTATCTTCAGATAAGATGGTGGGTGAAGGTTTATTGGACTAGCCTACTGTTCTTTTGATTATCCTAGAATGCACCAGTTTTTCAATAGGACGTTTCTTCTGAGCAGAACAAGCATATAGCGTTTCAACATATGCTCTTAAAACACTAGTTTTTCAATGACTCTTTCAGAGGCTTCGCCAGTTATTGGCGAGAAGTGTCTTTATCATTGATTCACTCATTAAAACAGATCCGTTCAAAACACTGACTGATTCAGGGACGAAACGAGTGACTTTTTATGAGTGAGTCATTGAATCACTTACTCAACCGATTTGTTGAAAACCTTGATTCATTTATCCTTGCGTTGCAGAGGGGTAACGATCATGCTGTTGCTTCCTTTGGAAGTATTTTATTTTCGTTTAGTTTGCGGTTTAACTGGCAACATAATGTCTAAAACTTACTATAAGCTATTTTTTATTAAACTACTTGTATAAAAGGAATATCACACTCACAATCGCTCAACAGCACTCTTATTCATGTGATATTGCTGATATGTAAATAACCATACAGACACATGAATGTATGTATCATCTATCTATCTGATCTATAATCATACTTGTATATCATATATTACAATTATCACAATCATTTTTGCTGAGCACTTAACTGAAAACTGCATTAAACTGTCAAAGAAGCTCATTCATTGTAAATAGATTCATTTTTAATGATTCATGTAACATTTAGCTTGTTTTGATCAATGAATAAATGATGTTTCTTTGGGACAGTTTTCAGAAATGCACAAATGCATGAATGAATATTCTGTCTTCATGGTGGTTCTGGGAAATGCAGAGAGGAATGTGTATTTTAAATTCTGCTGCATGTGGCTTTTTAATCTTCCTCGCATGGCAAACCACTGATTGCATTGCTGGATGGATGCTACGGTTCTGTCTTCTCCTGTCCTCTGGCACGCACACTCTAAAATTGGCATGATAGATATAAGAGAGTTAGAAAAACAAATGAATGAGACAAGAGCAGGGTGAAAGAAAAAGACATGCAAAGGGGACAACAGTGCAGGAAAAGAGCAACAGAGTTGTCTGTCGGAAAACGAAGGGGGAGGATGAGCATGCTGACCGGTGCTTGATTTAGAGAATACATCAGAGTTAAACTGGGCTACCTCGGTCAGCCCACATCACATCTTAATATGATGCTATAATGGTCGACAACAGAACTGATGACAATCAAATTAGGCCTAATGGCTCATTTACTTGCACAGAAACCTTGATACCCTTTCAGTCTAGATTGTTGATTGTGCTAAATGGCATTTGAATGGATGGTGTTGCACATCTGGAGGGCGCAGATCCAGAGCATGCGCCTGTCATTAGACATTCTCCTCACATACACCTCCCAGTCTCAATTATGCCCCTTGTGAACTGGCATGCAGAAAGTGGGTCAGGAAATTTAAAGGGAAAGCGTTGCTATAAAGTCTCATGTGTTTATGTATCTGTTCTCTCATAAGATGTAGATGAGTTTGTTTCTGGTTTGGAGAAATTTAGCTTCTCATTCATCAATGAATCCTGTGCAGTGAATGGGTACCGTCAGAATGAGACATTTTTAACTTAAAACCATTGCTTCGACCAAACCAAATATGACTTCTCTAACCATAATATTGCAGCATATTTTCATTTTTTGGGTGAACTATTCCTTTAAAACTAAACAAAATAAAATAACAAAAAAAATTATAATTCAGTTTTTACATTCTTACTCTGAAAAATCAAAAGCTACCAAATATTTTGGTAAAAATAAAGTAAAATAGAGCAATAATAACCCATATTTGTACTTGACTGCTTGTGTTGCACGAACATGATGCTTTACTTGAACTGAATTTAATTCAGAAACTGCATAGCTGGTGTCATATACATTCTAGAAAACAGAAAGGAAATATGTTTGAATATGTATAAGAATTATAGACAAATGACAGATCTGTCCACATTATGTAGGGAGGATTTGTAAGAATCCTAATATGGACAACAAGACGAACGGGTCTTGTGAGCAGATTAATACATTTTCAGGATTAATGTGACATGTTCAGTAATGAGATGCAAATTTGTGACTAACAGAACCCAGAAAGCATGTTTTTCACAATGCATAACTGCATAACACACACCTTACATATGCATGTTTGAAGTATGAGAAGATATGTTATGCAATTGTGTGAATAAAATTAAGCGAAGCAGAAGAACGTGTATATAACAGTTCAGACATTTTGCCTTTATTTTAAATAGAACAACACAAAAGACCACACTTTACATATATCTAAAAAGCAAAAAAACAATTTAAAACACCCAAGACGCAGTTATAGTCAATAAAAATTAATAAAAAGTTGTGAATTTAATATTTATAAGAGTAATACTTGTAATAATGTATAAAAAGACAAATCATCGCTTAAGTAAGCGATCCAAAACGTTCCTATCATGCCAATAAAACATGCATAAATAAAGCTTTCGTACACTCAAATACATCTCTAACATTTTAGAAACAAAAAGTAAATAAAATAAAAAAAGAGATCAGCCTAAACCCTGAAAGTTCTTCTCTAAGAGAAGGGTCAAAACATACTTGAAAACACGCAAACTCCTTAAAATACACAACGATATTTAGATGCAGGCCGACAGAAATGGATAGCGGAACAGAAGATTCATCCAGAGTCAAGAGCGAATCTCTGTTTATTTTTGCCCTTTTTCGCTCGGCCTGCAAAACACATCGTCCATCCACTCTGTAGAGGGTTAAAAGTTTAAACAGCACCATAGTTTTTCCCCTGGATTCCTTGTTATACAACTTACACCACCAAACACAAATCTGACCCATGAGTATGACACCGAATGACACGAAGATTATAGCAAAACATAATATACATGTACCACTTTACACCAATAGCACTTTATAATATGCTAATATTCAGCCATTTTATATTCTTTGGCAGCCTCCAAGTAAAATCGTATGAGGAACGAGAGATAAAAGCCTAGATTTGAATGATTTACGTGCTTTCAATAATGGCTTGAGTCAAACTAGATACCTCATCCAGCTCGATCATTAGACGAACACTTACCATCATCACAGTATGTCTGTTAATAAGATCTACTCTCATGCAGCCCTTGTTGACTTATAGAAGTATTCAAAACTCAGGCTATGTTCGCAATACTAGTATACTAAGCTCAGCTACTAATTCAGCAGTATACAGTATGTATGCTACATTACATGAATGCATTTGCCAAAATGTGCAGTGTATAGTTTAGAATACTTCCACAATGCAATGCACTCAACTCTACATTTTCAGGGTATTTAGTGTGTACTGCACAGTAAATAGTATACTAGTATTTAAAGGAATAGTGCACCCAAAAAATAAAACAAATGCTGAAATTTTACTCACACTTAGGCCACCAAAGGTGTAGATGAGTTTGTTTCTTCATCAGAACAGATTAGGAGAAATGTAGCATCACATCACTTGCTCACCAGTGGATCCTCTGCAGTGAATGGGTGCCGTCAGAATGAGAGTCCAAACAGCTCATAGTAAACATTATTATGGATTATGGACTTATGGACAGAAGCAATGGTTTAAAGTCAAAACATTTTGATGGATTAGTTTCATACAAACACAATTTTTATCAGCTGTTTGGACTCTCATTCTGACGGCACCCATTCACTGCAGAGGATCCATTGGTTAGCAAGTGATATAATGCTAGATTTCTCTAAACCTGATGAAGAATCAAACTCATCTACATCTTGGATGGCCTGAGGATGAGTACATTTTAAGAACATTTTCCCTTTTTGGGTGAACTATTCCTTTAATTCCGAATATAGCCTTATTTCTTTACTTTCTGTCATCACATCCAACCCAAAATCTTTGAACTTTTATCATACCACAATTATGTTCACTTTATGAAAGTAGTTATTTTAGCCACAGACCTTTCAAGAACAGTTCAATATTCTTGAAAGATTAACATTGCTATGAAAAAAAAAAAACAGAATTATGATGGTCATATGACAGACCAATATTTATTCTGGCCAATTATTATTCATGACCCTAAATATTCCATTATGCTTTGCTGAAGTACAGATTCTAGGGAAGAATGACTGTTGTGCAAATTTATGAAATTTAACTAGACAGATATTGGTGACTATCACTGCTGATCCAGGATCAGATGATTGGAAAAAGACTAAAGACAGTTATTTGGGGAAAAGAAATTCAATAGGCTATATACAATAGCTTTGTAGTCAGTCGTGGTTCATAAAATAGCTGTAATACTGCACCAAACAGTGTAATAATGTGACCCATTGAGAGGCTGAGGACAGGAACATCAGACTGTCCCGCGCAGCTGCTGCTGAGATTGTTTGATTATGTCCCGGATGAAATTTGCACTCTTGGATTTATTGTGTTATCTATGGGAAATGGATGACTCAATTTAAGTGTACTGAACAAAGTCAGGGTCCTTGGAAAATGAACTCTAGTATATTGATTCTGGGCCAGACATGAATCCTGGGATAGGGAGTCCTTGAGGGCTGTATGAGGTCGACTCTACGCTGAGTGATGGATTGTGGGACCTGTAGTCCAGGTAGCTGGATTGTCGTTGGCATTGTCGAGCACTTAAAAGCTTTTCTTCTGCGGAGCACTGAGTTTTCTCATTCCTCTTATCCTGCCGAGGAGCTCACGCACAAAGTCCTGGTGAAGAGAGAAAGACAGAAGGAGAGAGTGAGACAGATTGTGTGTCGTAAAATTCTTCCATTCTCTTCTGCTCATTGACTGTCTGTGTGAGTATAAAGCCTGTGGCTGTAGGTCAGCAACAATGCTGCGAGGTCATTGATTTGCTGACTGTGTGGTTGGTTTTGACAGCGGCAAGCTCACATACTCAAACAAGAGCACATGTTAGTGTTTAAGGGTCTGTGATTAGATTAGAGAGGATTGTGTGTGTGTGTGTGTGTGTTTGCTTTTCATTTAACATAAGATAATGATGGATACACTGAGTGCATTTTATGTGTGTATTTAGATGTCTAAAAGGTAAAAATTACATTTAAATGTTTTTTTTTAAATGAAAAAAAGTACAAATGTTACAAATTCTTTAAAGAAATTAATATTGTATTATTTTATTTTTATATATCATCATTATTAATATTGTATTAGATTGATCAAAAGTGACAGTAAAGACATTTATTCATATTATATAATATTAAATACTGATACATTGTTTTCAATGCTGCATATCAGCATATTAGAATGATTTCTGAAGGATCATGTGACACTGAAGACTGGAGTAATGATGCTGAAAATTCAGCTGTGCATAACAGGAATAAATTACATTTGAAAATATATTCAAATAGAAAACAGTTATTTTAAATTGTAATAATATTTTACAGTATTACAGTTTTACTGTATTTTTGATCAAATAAATGCAGCCTCAAGTGAACATAAGAGACGTCTTTCAAAAATTCTTAAGGACCCCAAAATTTTGAACCATAGTGTGTATATAACAAAATAAAATATTAGAAGAATTTTGTTAAAAATAAAGAAACAAATAGAGTATAAATATAATGGTATTATGTAAAAATAAAAAAATATATAAATGTAAAATTAAATTAAAAATAAAAACAACATAAGTACTTCCAATTTTCAATAATCAAGTAAATGCGTGTTTCAATTAGAGCAAAGGCATCTGTATGTGTGTGGGTCAGTGGGTTATTGTGTCTACGGTAGCTCTTATGCATTATGATTTTCATAGTGTTGGATGAATTCTTTGAGCACACACGTTTTCAGGTCAATGCACTTCTATGAAATCCACTAGCATGTCCTGAAGCTGTGCGTGTGTATGTGCATTTGCAGTAACCTCATAAAAGTTACTGATATGAAGCACTCATGCAGTGAGTCATGCGAGCCACATACACTGCTTGTGAACAGCAACCAAAATTGGACTAATTCTATGTATTTATTTATATATTTGACTACTGTTTTGTCGCAGAGACATATATGAAAATATAAGGCAGTGTAATGTGGCTATAAATCTTTTGTTTTGTGAGTGCATCCATGATGCCTTAAAATATTGTCTATGTAGGCAGTTCAGTAGGTTTTGGAACAGAGCTGTGTGTTATGGGCCTATATTTTACGTTATGACTTACATCAGTGGGCTTGTAGCAGTCTGACAGTGATTCCTGAGGGACAAAAACAGAGAGAGATATCAACCAACTGAGTAACACACCAACAACTTTAGAAGCTTCAGGATTTACAGACTTAAACTAGACTTATACATAGACAGAGTGAATTCTCAGCTAGGGGTGGTGCAGTCCTGGTTTTTAATGCTTAATGTGTTGTTACATAACTGTGCACCCTCAAGTGGGCGTTAGAGTTTCTTTTAAATATCTGTGATATTAAACCAGATCTGATTATTCGGCTAGCTAGTTATAAACATGCCGACTATAACTTTAACTAATTACTCAGCAAGATTCTCTTCATTCCAACTAAAACTAAATACTTTCAGTCTTAAAGGAAATAGTTCACCTGATGAAAATTTGCTGTAGATGTACATAATGATGTAAATGAGTTTGTTTCTTCAGCAAAACAGATTTGGAGAAATGTAGCATTACATCACTTGCTCACCAGTGGATCCTCTGCAGTGAATGGGTGCCGTCAGAATGAGAGTCCAAACAGCTGATAAAAACATCACAATAATCCGCAAGTAATCCACACGACACTAGTTCATCAGTTAACGTCTTGTTAACATCAAACCGTTGCTTCTGACTAAATACAAGTCAACAATCCTTAATATTGCTCTCTCAAGTAAAAAAAAAAAAAATCATCTCATCTGAATCAGGAGAGAAATATGCACAGATCAAGCTGCGTTTATAAGTAAAAACAGTTCAAAACAGATCTAAACAAATATGACGGTGAATTTTGATGTGAGAGGACAACAGGGGATGGACTTTTACACAGAGGGAAGTGTTATTATGAATTATGGACTCATATTTTGGCGAGAAGCAATGGTTTAAACTTAAAACAGCTTAATGATGGATTTGTTCCTTACAAACATACGCAGCTTTTCACAAGACGTTATTGATGGACTGGAGTGGTGTGGATTACTTGTGGATAATTGGGACGTTTTTATCAGCTCTCATTCTGACGGCACCCATTCACTGCAAAGGATCCATTGGTGAGCAAGTGATGTAATGCTAAATTTCTCCGATAAAGAAACAAACTCGCCCACATCTTGGATGGCATTTTTCAGCATATTTGTAGTTTTGGGTGAACTAATAAGAAAATGCATTCTCTTACAAACACATGCTCACACATCACAGGACTTTACCTGTAGTTTTATGGCTCTCTCGTCTTCACTGTTCACCTCCAGGAGATCATCAATGTCTATCTCCACCTCTGGCATTTCCTCTTCCTGTAGAAGCAGAGATCAGGCGACATTAGTGGAAGTGAACACATCGCACAGTGAGAAATCACAAATGAGATTTCTTTTGTGCCTATTTTTATAATGAAGTTTGCAGTTCGGAAACCACCAAGAATTAAAAAGAAACCCCCAAGCAATTAATTTCCCCTCTGGATTCTGTTCTTCATTAGTGCAGAAATTCTAGCAGATTGGATGGATGTGGTCTAGATAAAATCGGCAGCCAAGAAATTCTGAATTATATGTACATCAGAACCATTTAGGAAGCTGTCTAGAGATCATCAGGAAACACTCTGAAGGGTCATTAACCAGAACGCCAGAACGTGCCAGTGATGACAGACAGAGCCACACAGACAGGATGAGATGAGCTCTATAAATACACTCGCTTCTTTAAAGGCGAGAGAAGGAGAGGGAATATTTTCCATGTAGCAATCGGCTTGTTTGGCAAATGAGAGAGGTGGAATAATACACATCATCCATACACACAATCATTATGAAACAACATTTGTCATTTCTGTCTGAGTGCCAGGGATTGTGAGTGTTTCAGCTAATTCTGCATTTGCTTGGCAGATCCAAAGACAAATCCAGGACTGGCTGTACAGATTTACCCCACGTTACCCTGCATTATGTCTGATTTTTAAAAATTTATTTATTTAGGACTTGAAGTGTTTTCATATACTTTAGTACAATGGCACTGATTTATTGTAATGATGCTGAAAATTCAAAATGTTGAAAATTTGCATCACAGGAATAAATTTTAAAATACATTCAAACAGAAAAAGTTATTTAAAGGGGTCCTATTATGCTTTTTCACTTTTTTAATTTTAGTCAGTGTGTAGTGTGTATGTTTGGGCATAAAAAAGATCTAGAAAGTTACAAATCTCAAAGTCCACTCCAAAGGGAGATATTTCGTTTTTTACTCCAAAGGGAGATATTACTCGTTTGGACTACAGTGTTTGTTTTCCGGGTTTTGTGATGGGAGAAAGGTATTTTAATTATGTGAAAAATAATGCGTTTTTCGAACCACCAAGCATGAGAGCATGTTCTAGTACACCCCCAAAACAAAATCAAGACTTTGTAAAAGAGCATAATAGGACCCCTTTAAATTTGCAATAATATTTCACAATATTACTGTATTTTTGATCAAATAAAAAGTATAAAAAACGAATTGGTCTTACCAAATGTAAACATGCTAATGTGTAATTTGTGCTACAGTGTTTAAGACAAATACTTTTTTTTTTTACATACAGTAATTGTGTTTTCTGAATAATCAATGATACAAATAATCTTTCAGAATTTGCATTTAAAATGTATTCATTAACACTTAACATTTATTTTAAAAATGTCATTCTACTTGTATATTTTTCTCAAATTTTCTGAAAGGCAGACTCCGCTCTAACTGTCCTGCGAGTGAACGTCATCTAACTGGGCAACCCATGACAGCTTCGCATCATCCACCGTTAACAGTTCAGCTGAAAAAAGCAGCAGGATTTCTAGTTCTTCCCCCCAGATCTACCAGTTATCAATTTCTCTGTCTCAAGCTGCACTGATGTTGAGTTTACTAGCAGCTCAAATGAGCATCAGTAATAAACACTGCTTCCTTTCAGAGAGAATACAGAAAGTAGGAGAGTGAAAGAAAGAGAGATTTAGCGAGAAGCAGGTCAAAATGATTAGTGCTGGTCTGCAGAGTTAATAAGGATGAGTCTGTGTGTGTGTGTGTGTGTGTGTGTGGGTTAAGAAAGCGTGGGAGGTTGAGAAGAAAATTCACACTACGGTTCATACGGTGAGGAAAACTGACAATGATGCATCGAGAAATGTTTGTATACCTTTAAAAGGGAGATTTCGTCAAAAATGACTAATTTCACGAGTTTTCTCAAAAGATGTCAAGAATCTCAATTCTCATATTATCTGAGCTGTGCGATCCAGACAGGTGGATATTGTGAATGCATGTAAATCTATTCTGACACACTTTTACTCTTAAGACAAACACTAATGGATGCACATCAATGTATATTAACACTATAAATCTGCAAAAGTAGACACACTTTCAGTGAAGACTTTGACAAATCAGCCTTTTAGTGCACTAGCATGGTTCCTTTAACCTTATTAGAGCGGTTTGTTAAAATAATGATCCAATCAGTCGCCTGCCTGCTGTCAGATTGGCTCATTCATCATGCGTTTACACATTCACCATTTAGAAGAACTAATATTTCAGACCTTTGTCTGTGTGTGTGTTCCCTCTTTGAAGGGGAAATGGCAATGAAGACAATACCAGCCACAAAGACTCCAGCAGATAAAGCTCAACCATCAGCAGATCAGTCAAGCCAACCACCAAGACATGACCAATCAATCACAGACTGATCTAACATCAGTCAAGAGAAGTTGACACAGAGGCCATCAGCCTTCTCAAATAATAATTTCATTAGCTACATTCACACTGGTGCACCAAGCAGATAGTCTGGAAACTACATAACAGCATCCAAAAGCACTCAGAACAACTTCGCAACCACATTAGCAACACCTCGGCGTTGTTGTAGTGCACATACAAGCACTACTCACATTTTCTTCCAAATAAATTAATAATTTACTAAACAAATATATATAAAATAAACTTTCTATATCATATTACTAATAGATAACGATATTCTAATAATGTGTGTGTGCGTGTATAATTTTTCAATATATTTAAATATATCTAGAATTTTTCAATATATTTAAACATTTATTTTATTGTATTAATATGTTGAATTTATTTAAATATTAATATACATTTTAAATATAATGAAATTATTGTTCAACAAAATAAATGTATTTTATATTTATTTTTTATAAATAATTAATTATATATACACACACACACTACACACATATATTGATAATTTAATTATTATTATTATTACTTATATATTTTGAATTGAATAACTGTTTATTGAATATTATGAGAAACTGAATATATATTAGTGCTGTCAAACGATTAATCGCATCCAAAAGAAAAGTTTTTGTTTACATAATGTGTGTGTGTACTGTGTATATTTATTATGTATATATAAAGACACACACATACAGTATATTTTGAAAATATTTACGTTTATATTTATATTCATATAAATTATATCATGTATACATTTATTTAATACATAAACGTAACATATTTTTCTTAAATATATACACATGCATGTGTGTGAAGAAAGAGAGATTTAGCGAGAAGCAGGTCAAAATGATTAGTGCTGGTCTGCAGAGTTAATAAGGATGAGTCTGTGTGTGTGTGTGTGTGTGTGTGTGGGTTAAGAAAGCGTGGGAGGTTGAGAAGAAAATTCACACTACGGTTCATACGGTGAGGAAAACTGACAATGATGCATCGAGAAATGTTTGTATACCTTTAAAAGGGAGATTTCGTCAAAAATGACTAATTTCACGAGTTTTCTCAAAAGATGTCAAGAATCTCAATTCTCATATTATCTGAGCTGTGCGATCCAGACAGGTGGATATTGTGAATGCATGTAAATCTATTCTGACACACTTTTACTCTTAAGACAAACACTAATGGATGCACATCAATGTATATTAACACTATAAATCTGCAAAAGTAGACACACTTTCAGTGAAGACTTTGACAAATCAGCCTTTTAGTGCACTAGCATGGTTCCTTTAACCTTATTAGAGCGGTTTGTTAAAATAATGATCCAATCAGTCGCCTGCCTGCTGTCAGATTGGCTCATTCATCATGCGTTTACACATTCACCATTTAGAAGAACTAATATTTCAGACCTTTGTCTGTGTGTGTGTTCCCTCTTTGAAGGGGAAATGGCAATGAAGACAATACCAGCCACAAAGACTCCAGCAGATAAAGCTCAACCATCAGCAGATCAGTCAAGCCAACCACCAAGACATGACCAATCAATCACAGACTGATCTAACATCAGTCAAGAGAAGTTGACACAGAGGCCATCAGCCTTCTCAAATAATAATTTCATTAGCTACATTCACACTGGTGCACCAAGCAGATAGTCTGGAAACTACATAACAGCATCCAAAAGCACTCAGAACAACTTCGCAACCACATTAGCAACACCTCGGCGTTGTTGTAGTGCACATACAAGCACTACTCACATTTTCTTCCAAATAAATTAATAATTTACTAAACAAATATATATAAAATAAACTTTCTATATCATATTACTAATAGATAACGATATTCTAATAATGTGTGTGTGCGTGTATAATTTTTCAATATATTTAAATATATCTAGAATTTTTCAATATATTTAAACATTTATTTTATTGTATTAATATGTTGAATTTATTTAAATATTAATATACATTTTAAATATAATGAAATTATTGTTCAACAAAATAAATGTATTTTATATTTATTTTTTATAAATAATTAATTATATATACACACACACACTACACACATATATTGATAATTTAATTATTATTATTATTACTTATATATTTTGAATTGAATAACTGTTTATTGAATATTATGAGAAACTGAATATATATTAGTGCTGTCAAACGATTAATCGCATCCAAAAGAAAAGTTTTTGTTTACATAATGTGTGTGTGTACTGTGTATATTTATTATGTATATATAAAGACACACACATACAGTATATTTTGAAAATATTTACGTTTATATTTATATTCATATAAATTATATCATGTATACATTTATTTAATACATAAACGTAACATATTTTTCTTAAATATATACACATGCATGTGTGTGTATTTATATATACTTAATAAATATACACAGTACACACACATATTATGTAAACAAAAACGTTTATTTTGGATTAATCGTTTGATAGCACTAATATATATATATATATACACACACACAAACACACACACACACTTGATAATATAATATTTATAACTTAATATTTAATAGTAATTAATTTATTACAAATTGTTTTTTTTTAAGATTGTTTTTATCATATTGCCATTGCAGTCATTTTATAAAGGCTTCTTTTCATAAATGT